TGCCGGGGAGAGGGTGGATTTCTTTGGAAGGCAGTTTTTGGTCAAAAGGAGGGGAAAATGGAGCGGGGGTTGATAAAGTGCCAGCACGGCGTGGTTTCTCTCAGCACGTGTGGGTTTTCTGTTGGGTTTCGGAGGGATTTCGGTGTGCTGCACTGGGGCTGAAATGTTTCCAATGAGAATGGAAAAAAGGAGAAATGGCAGAAAAAGCAATGGTTTTTCCATTCTTCTTTCTTAAAGCAGAGTAAATCTCTGCCCATCTCTCCGCTGGCTGCACAGGGAAGTCTGGATGTGACGAGTGGGTTTTTTTTCAACCTCTTAGGTCTGAGGTCAGAGCCAGGCTGAGTCGTCCCCTAAAGGTCCAACGTGGTCGGGGTCGGCCTTCCCCCCCCAGCCCCTTTTCCCAGCTAAACTAACCCTCAGGGCTCCTTCTAACAGCGCAGCAAATTCGTGCTCTTTTAACGCAAATCTCACGACTGGGGGTTATTTTTTACAGCCCCCCAGTCCTGGAGTCACGCTTTGATGTGGTCATCCCAAAGCTCACTCGTTTTATCCGAAATCTGGGCGCAGAGAGGAAGGTCTTGGCCCTGTGACCAAAGGCAGGCACAAGAGACCCCAATTTCATCATTTTTAAGCCTAACACCTGTTTCAGGGGTTTGGGGCTGTTTGCCAGAAAGCCAGTGCCACAGGGCGAGCACGGTCAGGGATGTGGCTGCTTGAATGATTTGAGCAGGCGGGGAAAAAAGTGTGAATGAGCCATTTATCCTTAATTAAAGATAACACCGCAGTGGTACCCTGAGCTGGCAGGAATTTTCCTGTCTGCTCCTCCGTCGTCTCTGCCTGACCTTCATTTTGGGAAGAGACTGCGATTTCTCGGTTGCATTGTCCCCCTCTGCAGCCCCTCGCAGGCACCGCTCTGGCTCCTTCCCCTGTACGTGCCCAGCACTGCTCTCCATGCACAGATTGTTCTTCTCCCACGCTCCATCTCTTGCTCCTCCCCACCTTTCCCTCCAGGAGCCCCGATGTCCCATCTGCTGCCACACAAGCCGGTGCCATCCCTCCGTGGGCTGACGTACGGCCAGCCCGGGAACCGAGGCAAGAGCCAAGGCGGTGCTCGAGGGCACGGC